TTATTTAAAAATCTTTTTTTTTTTAAAATAATAAATCCTTCGGAATTCCGTCGCTTTGCGCAGCCGTCGGAAATCCGTCGGTTTTGGCGACCGTCGGAAATCCGTCGGAAGTTTTGGCCGTCGGAAATCCGTCGGTTACCAGGGTCGTCGGAAATCCGTCGGAAGTTTTGGCCGTCGGAAATCCGTCGGTAAATGATTCCGACGGGTTCCGGTTATCCCTTTTCCGTCAGAAATCCGTCAGTATTTACGACGGATTCCCGACGGATTTTTATTTCCGACGAGATAGAATCGACGGACAAAAAACGTCGGAAAGCCGTCGGAATATGGCTTATTCCGACGGATTTCCGACGGTTTTGGCCGTCGGAAACTGCCCTGTTTTCTTGTAGTGCGTATCACATGAACAAATTGCTCGTTGGCATAACATGAACCAACAAATAAAGAAACTCTTCTGAATAATTGTTCTGAGTTGTGCTCTCGTGGATCATCATCGTACACAAATAATAACTGAAACTGTAATTATGTTAAACAAAAAATAATAATAAACATCTGGTTCTGACCTAAAAAAAGGAAAAGAAAAACCTTTGGTAAGATAATTTCGCACGACAAGCACGTGACGTAAGCGACACAAAACTTGAAGACAACAATAATCGAGTTTGGTAAGTTTGTTCAGCATGTGATGTATTAAGTGATAGATGCTGATGAAGAGTTGATGTTAAAGACGCATCACATACGTTTAGGAATATATACACATGCTACATTTTTATTTTGTTATATCCGGTTGATATAATGATACGATTTAATTCGATTTTTTTTGTTTTGTTTTACCGGATCAATTGATGTAAACCATCCAATCGGAACCACAATTATACAAAACTTTTATGGAAATAGACAGTCAAAATGTGATTAATCTTTTCTATAATAATTTAATCTTTACAAAACTTGGTTTCTACACAATAATATACAAACTCTCTCTTTTTTTTTGTTATTGTTTTCATTGAGTAACAATGTTCAAAAGAGAAGCTCTATGTTGAATAAGTCGTCTCGATAAGTAACTTAATTCATCCTTAATTGCTTCAAGGCTTACATTAAGCATAGCTAATTTCCCGAGCATCGTTTGCGCATCAATGGCCTTCACGATCTTCCTACCGATGATTCTTCGATAGAAATACCGGATCATCGAATTATCTACACATCGAATTTCGCCATTCTTCTTCTGGTTTTCACCACAAGAAGAAAGAAACTGCAAGAGTGACTGGAGAATAGAGATTGTTGATGCATTTGACTGCCTTAAAATGTTGGAGACCATAGAAGAATGTTGATCGAGACCACCGGATCGTTTAACAACCAAAGACTTCTTCTTTGTTTGTGTTCTTGCAAGAGATTTAAGTTGTCTAGCTGCTTCATTCTTGAATTCTTTCTGAAAGCTAATGTAAGCTTGGATCTCGGATTGAATGATCGAGAGGTCTCCTCCACGTCTACGTAGAACGGATTGAAGATCTTGGATTTGTTCCATGAATGTTCCTATCAAGTCTCTTGTGAAGTCAGATACATCAAGTAACAAGATGGATTCATCAAGAGCGTGTTCCACAAGTTTCGCGTTGTGAGAAAGGCGAAGAGCTTGTTGGCCTTGAGGAGAACATATGACTTGTTCATTGACAAATTCATAGAGCTCGACGAGCCGGGCAAGTCCAAGTTGGATTCGAGAAGAAGCTGAGGAAGAAGAGTTTAAAGCTTGAATCTTTTTCAGTTCTTCTTCAACTCTTTGTGCTTTCGGATGGACTAGTCTTGTAGGCAAACTAATAGACCTAGCTGGTACATGTGTAGTCGCCGAAGAAGAAGATGATTCTGCCATTTTTTTCCTAGCTCTTGAAGAGAAAGAAGAAGAAAACTTCAAACTTTGAAATGGGTTTTGGTAGGTTAAGGTTGACTCCAAAGATATATAGTAGAGGAACTTTTAAGAGATAAATCCAAAAGAAACCTTTAAAAATTTAGTGGAAGAGCAATTAGGCATGTGTTATAAAACCTTCTAATGAATGGGGATCTTTGCACAATTATCCTCTTTTGCTTAATTTAATAATCTCTTTGTGGCCATGAAACAAGCAACGTCAAGGTCTCTTAATTATTATGATTATCTTGTCTCTCTCTTTGCCTCTTTCATCATCGCTGGCTAAACTCAACGGTCTGTTTTCATTAGAAAACAAAAAAACATGACAACTCAGAGAAACGTTTTCCAAGGAGAGACTTTAAACATAGAAAACAATTTTTTGCGTAAATGAAAAAAAAAAAACTTAGGCCATTATAAGTCCAAGAATCTAGGGTTTTAAACAATAAGAAAGAGTTCGTAGGAGAATCTTGTTTAAAGGTCGTGGTACGATTCATTTCCTACTCATCCGTGTATTTTTCTATTATTTAGTTGACAGACAAGGAGACACAGAAGTTGTAATACACAAATGTATAGACTATAGAGAACATGACAGAAATTAAAAAGAGAAGAATTTTTTTTTTAAAAAGGAATTTCTTTGCCAAATGATTTGAAAAAAGTCGTAAAAAATGAATAGAATATAACCAAAATCTTGACCACTTGTCCTTTGTAAATCTTCCCTAATTGATCCCTTGAACATTGTCCTCTCATTTGGCTCTCAATGATTATCAATCTAATTTCAGTGAAACGTCACAATACTCTGCACTTGGCTACTTAATGCTAAGAGTATATTCTTCTTTTTATGCCTTTTCCTCTTGAGAGTGTAATCAATGGAGTAAGCAGTATTTGATCAGATATTGTTGTCTGATTTACCAAAAAACATATCAAATTTTTGGTTGAGATTTGCATATATACACAAGGAAATATTGATGATTGAATCTTGATTCATCCAATTTGAAGCAAAAAGAGTGGTTTCTTGCCACACAAGTATCTCTTCATATGTAACTAATCAAGATCAAGAAGAAAGTTTTTGTTTGCAGAAGAGATTATGAGAAATTAAAAAAAAAAACGTCCAAAACTTCGAATGAAACAAACACAAACACAATATACAAGAAGCTAATCCATTTTCTCTTTTAAAACATAATTAACTCTGCATATTCATAAAGAGAAATGCTAAACAAAATGAAGAAAAAAAAAGTTCTAAAAGACAAAAGTTTTCTCAAATGCTATTCTCTCAAATGGTTAGATTAATCAAACACCAGAATCATGAAAATGTAAAACAGAGCCATTTCTTGGTTGGTTTAACACCGTCTTTTTTCCTCTGTGAAGGTGCTTTGCTTGAGCTCCTACCCGTTTTCTTATCCTCTCCAGCTTTAGTAAATATAACGGTGAATCCTTCAGCTGTCGCCGGATCATTCACATCCCATTCTCCGAATTTCGGCAAAGGCCTTGCTTCGCTATTCGACGCCATTTTCTATCTTCAAGACAAAGAAAACAAAGCAAAATCTCTAAGAAACAAAACTC